GTCCATCTGGAGACATACGTCTCTTTAAAGTGTTTTTCAACTCCCTGGGGGGGAGACTTTTATTTTGAAAGACGACCGAAGCCACAGCTGGAATCTCTCTGGCCGAGCTGAAGCGGACTAAAGTCACCTGAAAGACACCTTTCCACTAAGGACCATTTCTGGACAAGCTTCCTGAAGGGTCGTCGTGAGACAGCCAGACCAGGGGTTCTTAAGCAGACTCTCCAGGTAACGCTGACGTGTTCGGTGGGTGACGTGTCAACTTGAAGCTGAGAGCAGAGGGGACGTGCTGAATCCGGTTGAAACACTTTCAAAATTAAAATAGAAACACTAACCTTTAATCACCTTTACCTTTCATTCCCTTTACCCTTGCCAACAACTAAGTGAAGTGCCAGTGAATAGTCTAGTCTTAACATCAGAACTGACTTTTACTGTTTATACATAAGTAATCTGAGTTTTAATGTGAAAAGAAATTCGGATGCGGGTTTTACCTCATTTTAACTTAGACGCTTGTTATAAATAGCTCACAATTAAGTGTAATTTATGATTTTGTTCAATTTGTGTAAATAAATGATTGCATAATCTTTATGAATCAACTTGAACCATGTCTGAGTTCCCTCATTGTGTCACTTCACTTTGCACAGACAAGTATTAAGTCATGAGAAGAAACCTTGGTAAAATTTTCTCTCATAGCTTAGTTATGAGAAGATGCAGGAAAGTTATTTGAATAAATAACTCATCCCTTACATTCTTTTAGAGCCATCTGATCAGAAGCTGTGGCTACTGAAAGGGTTTGTTACTGTTTTGCTTTTCTGGTAAGACCTAAGACCTCAAACTCACAGGCCCTGCCTGGCTGATGGGCTGTGAGCTGATTGATTGCAGTTCAAACTTTTTAATAAAGATTTTTGAAAGACAATCAACTTATTTTCTGCAAACACATTCCAACTTCCAATTCTGATAATGCTTTGTATCATATGACATTTTTGTTTTTCCTGAAAACAAAAAAAAAGTTATGCAGTTATTTTAGGAAAGCTGTGACTTTTGTAAAATTTGGCATAGATGAACTTTTTTCTCGACAGATATTGAGTTGTAACAGACTGGCTGAACTAGCTGTAGCAAACTCTGTCTGTTGTCAAAATATTTCATAAACCAGTGGGCAGATTTTTTTGAAACGCCCAGGAAATAATCATTAGATGTACCTTTTGGAGCCAGCCTAATTCAAGATGGCCACCACAGCCTTCTGATCTTAGAAAACACAACAAAAGCTGCAACTCAGTCAGTTTTACAAACACTGAGCTATAATTTGGTGTAATTGTAGCTGAAAGTCAGTCATAAAACACATGTCAAGTTTTAAAACTTGAGCATTACCCGTTGCCATCAACCTTGCTTGTTTGTTGGCAAAATATCTGTTAAACCACTGGACGGATTCCATTAAAACTTTCAACAAAGTTACCAAAAACTCAACAACTGATTGAATTTTGGTGTCAATCCAATTCAAGATGGCTGCCACAGCTAATCAACATTATTGAACATAACAATGGCTATAACTCAGTCACTTTAACTGACAATTAGACATAATTTGATGTGGCAGTAGCTGGGAGTCATTAGTGTGACATTTGGTGATGAGATTGTGCATCAAATCATAGTCAAGGTTTGACCAATACGGCTAAAACTTTTCAACAATAAATGATCATAGTTTCAAACTCTGCTATAAATGTGATGAGCGACGTGCATTCCTTCAAAGAGAAACTTTTATCTCCTTCATTTGAGACAGATGTTGAGAAGAAAAATGGTTAAACGTTGCAGCTCATGTCTGAAAGTAAAACCACCAAGGAAAAAATACTGTAACTGCAGCCGTTCAGAAAAAACTGAGTTGTTTATTTATTTTTTTGTCCAAGCGAGTGGACGTGCTACAGAATACTGTGAAAACCCATCCACAAGTGATGAATGCATGACACCAAGACATTCAGCTGCCTTCAGGTTAATGGAATATAGTGGCTGCATAAAACGGGAGTTTATTGGAGCATCCATTAATATTTTTCATATCACTGAATCATGTCTGCATTCTTTGCCTTCAAGCAAGTTCATTACTTGTTAATGAGAAACATATTACCTCTCATTTAAAATTCATGAGGCAAAGAGGACTTTTAAATAACTCATATGACAAATAGATTTGCTTAAAGGAGCTTTCATAATGTCTGTCCACCCCTTCCTGGTTTTACATTAAATTATAATTTCACTTTCAATGTGTTTTAAAACCCACGTGCCTTTACAGTAATGTCCTGTGGTCAGTTCCACAACAAATTACACAATTAGATTGTGTTTGAGAAATTTATAATGACATTTCTTCATTATTATTCACCAATTTAAACTGAATAAACATGGACACAAAACTAAAACACTTGAGGCTCATAGAGCCAAGGATCTCACATGACCTGGTAACACAGGTCTCTCCTAGTGTTTTCATAATAAAAGAACCAGAGATGTAAGAACTGGAAGGGAAGCAAAAAGGTTTTAGTTGAACAACTGCTCAATATTAAAAAGAAAGAAAAATTCATCACTTTTCTCTCCCATATAAAAGCTGGATTAATATTAATGTGAGAGCTTGAGTTGCTGATCTTTCACTTTTTTTCTTTAAAACTGTAGCAACAGTAAATCAAACAAAGTTTAGTTATTGTGGCTTCAGTGAACATTGCAAAACACAGATTGTAAAAGTTCATTGATAAGCTTATTTA